TAAGTGTTCCCCTTTCTCCATATCCTTGTGAGCAATTGGTATCATTTGTTCTCTTAATCTTAGCCAGTCTGACCGGGGTAAGATGAAATCTTACATTTCCCCAATTACTAATGACGTTGAACACCTTTTAAGGTGCTTCTCAGTGATCTTTATTTCTTCTTTTGAGAATGCTCTGTTTAGATCTTTATCCCATCTTTTAATTGTTACTTGTTTTCTTGATTGTTTCGAGTTCTTCATATATTCTGGATGGTAAACCTCTGTCAGACGTGTTGCTGGTGAAATTTTCTCCCACTCTGTGCATTTCTCTTCACTTCCTTGATTGTCTCTTTTGCTGTACAGAAGCTTTTTAGTTTAATGGGGTCCCACTTGTTGATTTTTTTAGTTTAATTCCTGAGCAATTGATGTCTGGCTTAGAAAGTCCTTTCCTACACCTATATCTTGTATGTAATTGTCAATGTTTTCTTCTAACAGTTTCAGAGTTTCAGGGTTCACGTTGAGGTCTGTGATCCATTTGGAGCTGACTTTTGTGTAAGGTAAAAGATAAGGGTCTAGTTTCATTCTTCTATAGGTGGAGATCCAGTTTTGCCAGACCATTTGTTGAAGATGCTGTCTTTCCTCCAGTGAATGTTCTTGGCCCCTTCATCAAATACCAGGTTGCTGAAATTGCATGTACTCATGTTTGAGTCTTCAATTATGTTCCATTGATCTATGAGTCTATTTTTGTGCCAGTACCATGCTGTTTTTATGACTATAGATCTGTAATATAGTTTGAGATCTGGTATAGTAATCCTCCCAGCATTGCTCTTAGTACTCAGGGTTGCCTTGGCTATCCAGACTCTTTTGTGCATCCAGATGAATCTTAGGATAGTTTTTTCTAATTCTGTGAAGAATGTCATGGGGGTTTTGATTGGCATTTCATTGAATCTATAAATGGCTTTTGGTAGAATGAACATTTTCACAATATTAATTCTTCCAATTCATGAGCATAGGAGGCCCTTCCATCTTCTGATGTCTTCCTCAATCTCTTTCTTTAAAGATTTAAATTTTTCATTGTAGAAGTCATTTATGCAATGGAGTTCTACTCAGCAGTAAAGAAAGATGAAATTTGAAGGTAAATGGATGGAACTAGAAACTGTTATACTAAATGAAGTAACACAGACTCAGAAAAACAAACAACATATGTTCTCCCTCATATGTGGATCCTAGCACCAAATCCTTATATGTGAGCATGTATCCAGACATAACTACAGGAACCAGGATAATGAAAAGGAACCAGGGAGGTAAAGGGAAAAAAAGAACCTGAGAGAGAAGAACAGTAGGAGGCAGGTGTTACAAAGGGAGAAATGGATAAAAATGGGGCTATTTAAATGGGAGGGGGGAAGGAAGGTTATACAAGGAAACTTGAAGATAAAGGGAAAGAAGGAGCTCAAGAGAGGTGGGACCATAGGAGAAGGGTACTATCAAGGGAGAAATGGGGAAATGGGGACACTTTAAATGAGGAGAGTGTGGCGGAATGGTTAAACAGGGAGAGAGGAGAGATAAATAATGTCTAACCAGTTTAAAAAAAAAAAACAGAGGGAATCATATTAGTCCAATGACCTAATGACAAATTACATATACAATATCTCTACATGAGTCCGTGTGTATAGCTAAAGGTTACATAACAACAACAAAAAAAAAAAAAAAAAAAAACAGTGCCAGACAGGAGAAGCCTTCCACTGAGTTGTTGCCCAAGGTGGTTTAAGAGACTCCCAGAGTTACTCAGGCTACTGCCACAGCCCTTGATGACCTCCCAGAACGTGAAGGTAAGACCCTGCTGCCGAAGACAAAACGTACTTCAGACACAGGATTTGGAGCATAGAGCTGGACCTGACCTCGAACCACCTCCCCTGAAGGCAGCTCTCATATCTTGGGAGAGCACTATGAAGGTGCCAGGGGAGGAGGTGCACAGCCACATGGTGCAGAGTCCTACGAGCTCATATAATTCTACGTCAATGGTGTCAGCATGCAAAAGTCCCGTGCAAACTCAGGAAGACAAAAACCCAGCATAGGACTAGGGAAATGAACAGCAGACCCCAATCTTAGCTGAAGAAATATTGGCAGCTGATTACCGCTAGGTGAGGAAAGGCTGATCTTCCTAAAACAAGGGACTCTAGATAGGCTGGCTAGACCTCAGTGGATGGACCTGCACCGGGAACGTCTGGGGACACTGACTTGACATTGGGCCTTACCATGGATGACAGAGTATATGGATGGCAGTGGGGGTGTGGGCCTATGGGAGGGTGCCAGTGGGGATGTTTGAGATGTTCTGTGTGAAATACACAAAACTCAATAAAAACAAAATTTTTCTAGAAAGAAAAGAAATGAGACCACCAAGCCCAGCATAGTCACTCATGCCTGGAATCCCAGCACTTTGGAGACTGAAACAGAAAAAAGAAAAATTGCCATGAATCCAAGGCCAGCCTAGGCTACACAGTAAGACCTTGTTTCAAAAGAAAACTAACACATGGCTTGGGCTATCACTCAGTTGGTAAAGTGCCTGCTTAGCATACAGAAAGCCTGCACAAAACTTAGCATACAGAAAGCCTGCACAGGTTCTGCACAAAACTGGGTCTGGTGGGTGCATGCCTATAAACCCAGTACTTGGGAGGCAGAAGCAGGAGGATCAGAGGTTCAAGGTCATTCTCAGTTACACAGCAAGTTTTGAGACCATGTCTCAAAAAAAAAATCCAGAGCTGGTTGGGGGTTTCAGAACTAGAGGGCTGGAGAAATGACTTCTGCATCTAGGCCTGGCATCTTGCCACGCATGACACCACCTTCCACGTGAATTATAATGTCAATGCTTCCAAGTTCAGAGACTAAAGTATATCCCTTTTAGAGTCCAAGTTTCCTTAGAACAGGACAGCAAGTCAGAGCACAAGAATTCAAAGTCCCTGAAAATGCCTTTCATGAAGCCCTGTTTCCCCAAGATGTCACATGAGATCCTGCTCAAACCAGTTTCAAGGTCAAGGGATTGGAGTGAATTCAGTGCTGCACCCTCACCCAGAAGTGGGGGCTGATGCCATGGGAAACCAGAGACATGTAATCTCACAAGGACGCCTTCGCCCCCTCCCAGGACCTGTCCTAACCAGCCTTTCCAGGATGGAAACAACAGCACAGGCCCCACCTCCAGCTCAACATGAGCCTGGGATCTGGGGTGTTAAATTCCAGATGATTCTCCAGTACTTCTTCTCCTGCCCTCCCTCCAGAAGAGCAGCAAAGTGGGTGCACTTCTAAGGGCCTCCCAGACCCTTAGTCCCAGGGCATCCCTCCCTTACTCCAGCCCAGATCTGGCTTTGACACTTTGCTCTTCTGACCTGGACAGGGCTTAGGTAACTGGGAAACAGACTGGACTGGTGGGGGACCTAGAAAAGTAGAACAGGACCATATTATAAGCTGGGGAGGGGGAGAAGGAGCATTTGAGTCTAAGGTCCTTACTCTGTGGCCCTGCCCCTCTCCTTAACTGACCTTCAGCCTCAGCCCACTGTAATCATGGGAACATGAGCCTCAGAGACAGGGAGAGATGAGAAGAGACAGCAGCCTAGGACTGATGTAGAGATAGGATGGGACGAAAGCAGAGAGAAAGGTAGGGCTAGGGATGTAGCTCAGTTGGCAGTGTTTGCATAGCACTCAAGAAGCCCTAGGTTCCAACCCCGTCATCACAAAAGCCAGGTGTGGTGGCACACTCTTGTAAATACCAGTACTCCAGAGGTGGAGGCAGAAGAGTTAGGAGTTCAAGGTCACCTTTGTTTATGTAACAAGTTCAAAGACCTCTTGGGCTACAACAGAGGGGCTAAAGGGATGGATGGGTCAGAGGTTAAGAGTACATACTGCTCTTGCAGAGGACCCAAGTTCTGTTCCTAGCACCCCTGTTGGGCAGCTCACAAATGCTTATAACTCCATCTCCAGGGGATCAGACACCCTCTTCTGGTCTCCATGGGTGCTGTCCATATGTGGTGCACTTACATACATGCAGACCAAATGCTCATACACATAAAATGAAATAAATCTTTAGAATGTCATCAAAATACATTGTATGAAATTCTGGAATCAGTAAGTAAATTTTTAAAGAGGCAGAGAGAAGGGGGCTGGAGAGATGGCTCAACAGGTAAGAGCACTGGCTGCTCTTGCAGAGGACCCAGGTTCAATTCCCAGCATCCACATGACAGTTAACAACCATCTGTAACTCCATTTCCAGGGGATCTGATGCCCTCTTCTGAGCTCTTCTGAAATTGCATGACACAGGTACATTTACATGCATGCAAGCAATACATTCATATACATGAAATTTAAAAATAATAATAAAAACAATAATATTTTAAAGAGACAGAGAGAGGATCAAAAACCCAGAAATACAGATGGAAAAAGAGAGAGAAGGAGAGACCAACATGAAAAAAGACAAAGGACTCAGCAACAGAGATCCCAGAGACAGCAACAGCAAAGCAAAATTCCCAGCGAATTTCGGAGACGAGCCACAGACATGAAGAATTGCAAGAGTTAGACAAAATAGATGACCAGAAATGAGAAATCTCCAGAGAGAGAGGGAAAGCTTGCACAAGGTCTCCCAGCCTGTCAGTGACAAGAGTTGAACCCAGAGAAACAGAACTTGAGCGTGTCCCAAATAGGACTCAACCCAGTACTGGATCCACTCCATTCCTCCTTAGCCCTTTTTTTTTTTTTCTCTTTGAGCCAGTGCCCCCTGACCCCACCCTCTTCTCCAGAGTTTGAGAAGCCTTTGCTCTATTCCAAGGCAAACAGCAAGTACTGACCACAGCAAGGTGATTTAAGGCCAGCCTGCAGACCAGAAGGGCACAGACAAGAAAAGGGGGTTCGTGAGGTATGGTTCCCACCCACCCCATCGTGCCAGCTGGCTAAGAGCCCAGGGTCTTCCGGAAAGGTATGACAGGAAGGTAGGAGGAGATTAAGCTCACTGGAAAAGCAGGGAAAGGTGATAGGGCGGAGAAGGGGTGTGGACAGGGACAACTTAAGGGCAGCCGGCATCCCCCAAGTACACACAAGAGCCCCAGAACATCCCCACAGCAGGTACAGGGACGCGGGTATGGGATGCCAGGACACGGGTGGGGAGGGGTGGCTCCTGAGAGAGGCAGCTGGTTGCACCTCTAGGAATCTCTTTGGGAGATCCCACCTGTCTGTCTCTGGAATCTGTCTGTGTTTCTATCACTTTCTTCTCCCTTGGTCTCTGTGCTGATCACCTGTCCTCTTTCCCCTTTTATTTTAGTTTATTTTATTTTTGACAAACAGCAATGTCATGTGAGTCATTTAATCCTTCAACATCTGTTTCTCTTTATTTTGCAATGTCTATTTCTGTTTGGGTAGTTTTCGTTTTTTTATTTTGGTTGGGATTTTGGTTGGTTGGTTTTTATGTTGTTTGATTTGATTTGGTCTAGATTTTTTGTTTGGGTTTTTGTTGCTGTTTGGGGGGTTGTTGCTTTTTGTTTTGGGGGGGGTTGTTTTGCTTTGTTTTGTTTTTTGAGACAAGAGTTTTGATACACAACCCCTGGCTGGCTAGGAACCCACTATATGGAGCAGGTTGGCCTTAAACTTTTGGTGATCTTCCTGCCTCTGCCTCTACCTCCAGAGTGCTGAGATTACAGGCATGTACCACCACATCAGACTTTGCCTGGCTTTTTGAGACAAGGTTTCCCAGTGTAGCATAGGCTATTCTGCCTCTACCTACTGAGTCCTGGACTACAGGCACACAGCACTGTGATTGGCCTGCCGCTGTTTCTTAATACCTGTGCATCTCTAGCTGGGTATAGTGGTGCATGCCTGTAACCCCAGCACCAGGGAGGCTGAGGCTAGAGGACTGACAGCTAACTGGGACCAGCATGGGATAGAGTGAGACCCTGTTTCAATAAAACACCCCAAAAGAGTGTGCTTGTCTGACTCTAACTCCATGTCTATCTTTCTCTAGCCTCTTCCCCTGGTCTGTTGTCTGCTCTCCTGTGATTTCCTCTCTATCTGGTTCTCTCTCTGTGTCAACATTTGTTTATGTCTGTCCCTGTGTGTCTTCACTTCCTGTTATCCCTGTCTGTCTGTGAGAGGCAAGATTTTGACAAATGGTTGAAGATAGACAGATGGTAGGTGATAGATAGAAAGACAGACAGGTAGATCGATTGATAGACAGATAGATGATAGATAGATAGATAGATAGATAGATAGATAGATAGATAGATAGAAGATAGATAGATGATAGATAGA